AAAGCAGCAGCTGGAAAGAGAAGGTTCTTAAATTCTCTCCTTACCAATCACTTCACCTATCCTAAAGTATATGTGAACCAAAATAGCAAGTAAGTTCAGAGATACAACTGCAATCTGTGCAAAGTTGGTTTGCATTAATCTGTGGAGAAAAATGCTATTTAAACTGATTCAACCACTAATAAACACACATTAAAATTTGTCCTCCAGGAGCTTACAGTCTAGTAGAGAAAATACAAATGTAGCCAGCCAAATAATCAGAATATTAAATAGAATTTTTTAAAGCTCTATAACAAAGATAAAGCAAAGTGCCATAGGAATGTAAGAATGAACTTTTTCTACATGAATGGAGCAAAATCTCGAGATGGTTGAATTGGAGCTGGGTTTTGAATGCAAAGCCTGAAGCAGAGAAGAGGGGGAAAAGGGCATTTCAAGGTAAAAGAACAGCAAGAGTAAAACTACAGAGAAATAAAAGTGCCTCTAAAAATAGAATTCTGATAGAATGGGGCCAGTTCATAAAAGGCATTACCTGACAACGCATTGGAAAGTCTGGACTGTGGAAGTGACGCAATCTGACCAAGACCTTAAGAAAATTCTCCTTTAAAAGAATGAATTGGGAAGAAAGGAATGGAAGAATAGCAAAGAAAAGAACGGTAACAGGAAGTCTGATTAAAAACAAAGGCCTAAACTGAATTGCTGAAAATGGAAATGGGATAAATATTAGTGTTAGAACAAATAAATGATAAAGACTGTGCAGATGTAAATGCTGGGTAAAGTTTGGTCAGAGAAGGAACAAAACACAAGGCCATCTTGAGAATGAAATAAGTGATTACAGATTTGGAGACTTAAGACTTCACCTAAATTTCCGTTCCTTTTGAGTGTTTCTGCATTTATTCTAGTATCCTACATATCTGACATTTTAAAAAAACATTTTAAGCATAACATTCACCTAAGGATACTCATGATTTAGTTCTATTAAGTACAAATCAAATCAGCAGCATTTTATGAGTGAACAGGACCTTTTTTCCTTATTCTGAAATGTCTTCATTTTATATATTTCTGAACACAGTTTTTAGGACAATTACATTAAATAAACCATGACAGAGGTACCCCATACCATACACAAGTAAATACTAGTAACTTCACTAATTTACACCTACCGGTCCACCCATCTTTAGACTCCCAGGTCGCTATACTACTCCATAATGGAGGCTTCTGCTGCTTCTCAGTGGAAAAGAATCTCACAGAATCTCCGTTAAGTTCATAAACAGAACCAATTAACAGTATATATAACAATTTAGTGTCCTGTTTGTAACTGATCTGACTAGAGTGACTTCAGATCAAGATATCCTACTGAAAAAAAAAAAAAAACCTGTCAATAACTAAATATAATTAAAGTCTTCAAGGACATGTTTTTAGACTCATACTCATAAAAGCTACAAGTTAATGAACCAAAAGAATCTCTAGAAGAATTTGTTTTTTACAATTCTGAAAATGCTGCAAAGAACGGTCATGTAAAAGAAATTGATACATAAATACCCAAACAGGAGATGAATTTTAGCAAAACAGATCACTACTTGAAGGGGTCAGCTCCACATGACAGTATCAATATCTAGTATCAAGAGCACGTCACTTCAGGGGCGCCTGAGTGGCTCAGTGGGTAGGACCTCTGCTTTCCGCTCAGGTCAGGATCTCAGGGTCCTGGGATCAAGCCCCACATCAGGTTCTCCGCTCAGCAGGGAGCCTGCTTCCCCCGCCCCCTCTGCCTGCCTCTCTGCCTACTTGTGATTTCACTCTCTCTGTAAAATGAATAAAATAAAATCTTAAAAAAAAAAAAAGCACATGTCACTTCGGTCAGCCCAGGGTTTGAATCCAAGCTGACTTCGGAACAAATCACTTCTATTTTTTGGAGCTTCAGTTTCCCCATCTATCAGTAGAAATGTAGGAGGTGAATGTATGTTGTTAAGTATTTATCAATGCCTGGCACATGGTTAAGACCCAAATGTCAGTACCATTCCCTCCCGTCAAAAACAGCTCTACTACACTCTCACATGACAAGAAAAATCTTCATACTATGGTTTGAATACTATTTTCAATGTGCATGCATCTCCTTAAAATATCTATGCTGACAAGTCATTAATACATAAGGTCCATGTGGGCTGGTAAAAGATCATACTGCTCTTTCTTATAGCATAACACATGGTCTCTATTAAATACTTATACAATCCAGGCCCACAATATTTCATATGCTCGGTAAACTCCATCATCCCTTCATTTACCCATTCAACAATTATTAAGCAATGACTTCTGCCAAATACTATGCTGAACACTAGGAATACAATGGTGGGTTAAGACAGGACAGCTGCCTTCAGAGCTCAAAATCCAGCAGACTATTTATCAAATAACACAGGCCACTTAAGACATTGCTAAATTCTTAGAGTAAAACTTTTTGCACTAAACTGGACAAATGAGTTCAATTACCTGTTCCTAAACAGTAATAACACACTTGCTGTATTTAAAAATTTTTAATTTTTCCAATCAGCTATGTTAGGTGTAAATTCTGGGCCCTAAATTTTAAGCAGGACAGCTGACAAACAGATATAATGTGAAAAATCGGAAAACCATACCTCATGACAAATGAAGTTTTGGGACCCAAGAAGGAAAGACTCAGAAGACTCGCAAGGGTCTTACATTTTTAAAAAGTAGTAGCACACAGTCGAGTTTGCTCTGGTTAAACTTGAAGCAATGGATAGAAAGTTATATGGAAGCAGATTTCGGTTTCAGTGTGAAGGGTTCTAATAATTCAAACTATTCAATAATAATTCAACATTACATTTCCATAATAATCTATAGTATTTCTATACTTTACAAAACATAAAATTTCACTTAATCCTTGAAATCATCCAAAAAAAAAAAAAACAAACACCGCAAGTATTTCCCTGTTACAGTTTAGGAAACTGACCCTCTAAGGGAGGGTCTTGCTAAGATACTGGGGCAAAGCAGTCCAGCCTAGAACTCTCAAGTCCCAAATCTAATGGAAGAGGCTGTCTGTCTCAAAGTAATGTCTTTCCATGTCTAGATGTATTTAGGCACACACCAAATGGACAGCTGTCTGGAATGTTGGCCAAGATACTCTTAAGCTTTGTCCAAATCCAATCCTTTAGAAATACCGGTGGTAAGTATAAAAACCATGAAAAGATTCAGCAATGAATGGTCCTCTAGAATGCAATCTTCATGAAGGCAAGGACGTCAGGTTCCTTCATTAATCTATTCCAGGCCCTGGAACAGTAACTAGCATATGATGTGCTGAGTAAATATTTGCTAAATACAAATAATACTAATCATACATGACACTACTACACGATATATATAAAATACCTGCGACTATTAAGGGCAGGACCTTGCTGAAGTATCCAGCAACTAAAAATTCAAATAAACACAAACCCAATATCTTAAAATTGCATCAAACATTCAAAACTGCTATCTAAAGTCCTGAGACTTAACCTAATCAGTTTTCAAAAACAATGTTAATTGCAAAAAACAAACAATAAAAAAATGCAAACCTCTGGCAAATCTAAAATATTTTAACTAAAAGTAAAATGCAAAGAGTGATATAAAGATATAAAGGCTAAATTTGGTGAACTGAGTTATCAGTGTTGATAGACCTTTCCTTAAAGCATCTACTAGCATTTTAAGTGTACTGAACATTGTAAGAATGAAGAGATTTGTACAGCTGCTTTCATTTAAGGACAAACTCACAACCAGATCTCTACTTACTTGCATCCCATCTTGACAAATATTTACTAGGCTGACACTTAAAAGAGATCCGGTAATTTTACAGGTACATGCACTGAGATTCAACATAACGTCTACTCAGAAGTACTTGCATCCACTTGGCATTACTGAAAACTAATACCAATAGGAAAAACACAACCAGCAAAAAGTCATTTTTTAATATTCTATACACTAAACTATAAGAATTTTTAGACAGCTCAGGAAATAGAACCTCCAAAATATTCAAAAGTTATTTTTAATTAATGTTGCTTAACAGGTATGCATAGATCAATGCTCATACTTTCCCTGAAGAACAGAATTCTATAATAAGGTATAACAACTACATAAAAGATTTACTCCAATTTTGCTAGGTTAAATTATACCTTTTAAAGATTTCTGAACAATGATCGTGATATTTAAAAATATAGCTAACTTTAAAGTAAATGTAAATAGTAATTTAATATAATAGTAAACAGTGTAATACTGTAACGGCGAGCAAGACCATTCACTTGGTTACACCAATTAATTATACGTTATGAGCAACTGGGTGTCATCACAAACCAACAGTGAAACCACAATCTTGTCATTTTTTTTTCTTTTAACACTTAAAAAACCATTCCACACAAGAATATCACAAAATGAGCATCTTCCTTAAGAATTTAGAACTGTAAGTTTCCACATCAGCTTTTTTCACATATTAAAAGAATAAACTCCAGAGAAAAGCTGCTTTTTCCATCGCTGCAACATTTGCAATCCACATCTAACTCTGACATCAGCAAGTGATTCCGAGTCTCCTCCACAATATGTGGGTCCGTCCCTAAATCTCCAAAGATGAAACCTCTTCAGAGAGCTTTCAAAATTATGACAAATTAAATCACCTCTAGGTTTTCCCAAAGAAACTGCTAGAAATGCAAAGAGCAGTTGAGAGAAACCCCGTTAATATGTTAACGCAACAAGTTTAAAACTCTGGGAACTCTTTCTTCAAAATGTTCCCTGGCACAGCGAGGAGAACAACTCTGCTGGACCTGTTGCTTTGTCCCTCCACCCCACTAAAAGGTGTCCTAGGCGCGCGAAAACGCTTCTCCCTACTTGAACCCGGCCTGAAGTCGGGTTTTCTAGTGCCGGTGGCCGACTTGGGCGGCTCGGAAGAGGCCAATCACCACTTCGCCAGCCTCCCGGGGAACAGGTCGGCGCAGCAAAGGACGAACGCCCGGGGGGGGCGGACTCACCTGATCACGGGGCTGTAGGGGCTCCGGGAGCGGCGCCAGCTGCTGCTGCTGTACGGGCTGGGGGACACGTCGCCGCCCCGCTCGTAGGAGCTGTGGCGGCTGTAGCTGGGGGAGCGGCGGCGGCTGTAGGGGCTCGGGGAGCGCGGCAGCCGCCGAGAGTACGGGCTGCTGCCACCTCCTGCCGGGCTGGGGGACTTGCGGCTCCTCAGGCTCTGCGAGGCCCTGTGGGACACCGGGCTGTCGTCCCGACCTCCCAGCGGGCTCAGGGACCGCTGCCGCCGCCTGTAGGCCTTGGGCTCGCTCTTGTCCTCCCGGTAGGCCTTGGGCGGCTCCTTGTAGGCCGAAGGCGGCTCCTTGGACGACTTAGTCCGGCTCCGGTGGGCCTTCAAGTCTCGATCTTTGCGGCTGCTGCTGCTGCTAGACGTGGCCGAGGCGCTTTTCCGGCGGCCGCCGCTGCTGCTGCTGCTGCCGCTCTTGGCGGCCTCGGCCCGCTCCTCGCCGCTGTGGCTGTGGCGGCTGCGGGACTTGGAGGCGTCGCTGCCGCCGCGCTGCCCATCCCGCCGCCGGTGCTCGCGGTGGCGCTCCTTGCTGCGGCCGCTGCTGCTGCGGCGGTCCCGGCGGGGCCTGCGCTCCGACCCCTCCCCGCGCCGCTGGGTGCCGGAGGAGGAGGCCGGACTCCCGCCGCTGCCCCCCGTTCCCCCGGCAGCCGTCGCCGCCGTTGCCGCGCTGGCCCCCCCCAGCAGCAGCCCCTGCTCGGACTGGGAGCTCACATCCTCGTATTCCACCAGCGGGGTCACACCCCCGCCGCTACTAGCACCGCCACCGCCGTCCTGCTGCGGCTGGGGCAGCGAGAAGACCCGACGCTTCTCCGCCTCCTGCCCGGCGCGGGGCCCGCGGCGCCGCTTCTGCCGCCCTCCTGCGCGCCTCTTGCCTCTCGCCAGCCGCTTGACCTCCAGAGGGGGGCCCGGGCTGAAGCAAGAGGAGGAGGCCGCGGCGGCGGCGGCTGCGGCGGCGGCCGTGCCGGGAGCAGCCAGGAAGAGCAGAGGCGGCGGGGGCGGCGGCGGTTGCAGGAGCTGCGGCTGCAGGAGCGGCAACAGCAGCGGCGGCTGCTGAGGGGACAGGAATCGCCTCCGCTTGCGGCGTTCCTCCAACTTCTTCTCCGCCCAGCTCAGGCCCCCGCCTCCCCCCAGCGCCGTGTCCGAGCTGCTCGGCATCGCCTAGAGCCCGCCGCAGAGCGCGGCGCGGGTGCGGCCTCCTCCCGGGTCAGATCCTGGCCATCTCCCCCGCCGGAAACGGGAACTGCTGCGGCGGCGGAGGGACACCGAGCGCCAGGGCCGTCCAGAAGACACGCCACGATAATCCGGGTCAGGACTCGGGTCCCTGGGTTCCAGGTCACAGTCGGGTATGCAGCGGCCTCCGGGCCTGAAGGAAGCAGGAATCCGGGTGGCAGAGCTCGCGATCGTGCTCGTCGTCCTAGCCTCAGCAGCAAAAACACCAGATGCGCCGGGCGCTGACCTGCGGGGGAGTCCGGAGTCCTCCAAGTGCCCCCGGGGGTGGGGGAGCGGCCTCGGCCGCGCTCTCGGCTCGGGCAGCGCAACGCGGAAGTACCACCTTCGTCTCCGCTTCACTCCATCGCGCCCTGACGTTGGGTGCGAGTTCAGGGGAGGGGAGTGGGCGAGACAACAACACGCCTCCGCCGCCGCCGCCTCCTCCGCGTCGACGTCGTCCTCCTGTGGTGGCGGCGACACACGGCGGGTGCCTCGGAAGTGGCCTGGGCCTGACAACAACTCCCGGCCTAGGGCCTCGCGCACTCTGCCGCCCGCAGGGACGGGCGGCGGGGCGGGGCGAGGCGGGGGCGACCGGGCTGCGGCTCACGGTTGGGGCAGCTAGTGTGCGGGGCTGGGCGGGGGGCTGTTTCCGGGGAGATAGGGGCGGGGAGGGGGAAGTTTCTGAGCCTGTGGCGGTGGGTACGGGCCCTGACTTTCTTCTTCCTTCGCCGCCGCCGCGAACAGAGGTGGCGGAGCTCCCCTTTCCTCCGCTCCCCCCCCTCCACGAGGAGGCTCCTGGTGTGCGCGGCCGGCCCCGGCTCGCTCCTCCCCTTCCCTCTCCGATCCTCGTCAAGGAGGAGGGAGGGCGACGGGACTTGCTGGTTGGGCCCTAACCTCCACAACCCCTCCTTCTCGCCTCGCTCTTTCGGCCTTTCCCCTCGGCCCGGACGCAAGGCCGGGGGCGCGCACGCACGTCACGCTCCGAGAAAGCCGAAGGTGAGTGGTGTTGGGGCAAAGGAGGCGGGAACAAAGTTGCCGCGCACCGGCGTGCTCGCTCCCGCCAGAGACGGGCGCGCGGACCGGAACTGGCGTAATGTAGAAACGGCTCCACTTCCGGTGAGGGTGGGACTACGTGTGAAGCAGGGTTAAAGAAAGGAGAGGGAGGATTCGTGTACGCCTACTGCTGTCGCTTAAGTCTCTCGCAGTGATGGCACGCCGGTCGTGCATATAGGGTCCAACGCGGAGTTGCACCGCCCGCCTGTTGAAAGGTCAGGGCAACAGCAAGAGTTTGGGGATTCAATAATTCAGTTAGGGGCCCTCTGGATTGGGTAGTCACCCCATCATTGTGCCCTTAGCCAGACCCTGGGGAGAAAAGAGGGCACCCCGCAAAAGAAGGTGGAGGTGGCATTGGTCAAACTGTTTTACCTACGCCCAAGTTCGAGGTCCCATCCTAGCGTAAAAACACACTTGGGTATCACAAGTCTTGAGCAGTAGTAACACTGAAATTCACTTAAAAAAAAAAAAAAAAAGCCTTAACGTTAATTCAGGGAGTAAATGAAACGTCAAAAGGGACTACTGGAAATCCCAGAATTATTACAGCTGCTTGAAGTCAAAGTATTTGCTCAAATCAGGGCTGCCCTCTCAGCACTTAACCCACTTTCTCCTTAATATCTAAACCTGTGGAAGCGCCGAATGTAGTCATTCAGTGTCTTCACGTCTAATTTCTTGTCTTACCAAGCTTGCCTTTCAGTGATAGACTGGGATCATAGGATAGTTGCCTCTTTTTTTCTTTTTAAGATTTTATTTTTTTTTTAATTAAAGATTATTTACTTATTTATTTGACAGACAGAGACCACAAGTAGGCAGAGAGGCACTTTTAAGATCTTTTAAGTAATTTCTACACCCAACATGGGGCTCAAACTTAGTACGGGGAGATCAGGAGGAGTTCAGTGCATTACCAACTGAACCAGCCAGGTGGCTTTCATGTGCTTGAAAAGAAAAGCTAAGGAGTCCCCTCAGGGACTACATATAGCAACCCCTTTGCAGGTTTATTTTTTCAGATCATCAGTTGGTTCTTAGTTCCTAAACACTTGGTATCCATCCATCATTCATGACCTAGTGTAAATATTTTTAATTGGCTTGACATCCACTAACACTGTATTTCAGACTGGACTAATCTAAGCCGAAAATCAGACTAAAGCGAAAGAATGAATACAAAGGGTGTGTGTTTGCTGAAGGATAAAGGAGGAGGCAAAGCATTGCCCAGGAAAGTGGACCTGGGTGGGCCACACAGTGGGGCCTAATGTGTAGCCAGCAGGAAGTGGTAAGGGCATTGAGAAACTGAATAGAAAAGTAAGGGGCAGGGTGCCTTAAACTAATTTCTCCTTGGTAGTATTGCTGAGTGGAGGTCTTATAGCCTGCTAGTGACCAGTTAGCAGGTGGTTTTTTCCAAAAAATAGGATTAACTACTATCATTGTACTTTGAAAAGCCTGGAGTAACAGAAGAGGAAAGCAGAATAAGAGGTTTATTTAGCAGGTTCTCAAATCTGTAACCAATTTCACTTGAGAATGTCATCTATACTTGTGGAAAAACAAAAAACAACCTTGATCCATAATAAGTGGGCAGCTTACAGGCCAGGTTGCAAACAGAAAAGATATATATATTTCATTAGTATTCCATATATGTTTGATATCTGCATCGTATTCC